TGGTTCGAGGAGATGTCCTGGTAGCCACGGGAGATGCTTGAAATGGCTGTGGGTCAAAATTAACCCACCAGGAATTGGACCGCAGGTTTTAGTGCATGATTCTTTCCATTTAAGGGTTCCATTTTGGGGTTACCCTTAGTTGGTTTTCCCCCCGCGAGGGCACTGAGGTCGATTTTTTCCAACCTTCTGCAGGTTGTTGGGGCTTAGGGTGTTGGCCTGCAACATAGTCTCTCTGAGTGCCATGGGCAGGGAATAAATTAAACCAGGAATTGGACCGCAGGTAATTAGTCCATGTTTCCATTTAAGGGTGCCATTTTGGGGTTACCCGATTTTTGCCCCACAATCAGCTTCCCTCCTTTGCTGGTTATTCGCTTCCTGGTGGTTTGGTTGTGAAACGGGAGTTGTAAACCCCATTTGTCCACAAGACCCCCCTCTAATTGGTAGTTTGGAGGGAGGTTTATCCCCTTTGCTGGACTGCATTTTGGAGCCCAGTGGTTTGATGGTGAAATAGTGGTAACCCCCATTTCCTTTACAAGAACCACCACCTAAGGGGTACCTGAACATGGATCCGTGAAAGGGGGATCAGGGAAACACGGAACAACAAAAAACAAGTCAACCAAGAGACAGGGAAATACCAAGAGCTGTTTGATTGAAGACTTAGACCAGCGCCATGCCACATGCTCTGAGATTCTTGGGGGCATCAGCTCCCTCCCCTCCGCCCCTCCGCCCTCACATGCGCTGACCCGCTCAGTCGACTGAGCGCAGTTCCCAGCCCCCCCGGGTCCTTCTTGGCTACGAAGCCCAAGCCACAGCCAGTGGGCTGAAGTTGAAGGCAGTCGTCTATGACCTGGAAGTCTCACAGGCTGAGTGGATGGTCCAAAAAAAGTAAAAACTTTATATTTACTACTAAAATGGTCTTCCCAGAAAGTTTAAAGTTCATTAACTCAGAAAGTGAGAAGTTGGCAAAGTCTCTGCCAAACGGCAATGGAATTCGAAAAGCAATGGACATCCGTGGACTGGAAAAGTCAGAGGCGTGAATGACGCCAGAGTCGGGGTTTGCAGGTCAACGTCGCGGATGTTCTCAACTAGGCGAGGGCGTAAACCCACCCAACCACACTCCTCCCACTGCTCTGTCCCTCGCTGCTAATGTTGACCCCAAATTTATAAACTCCTGATTAATTGGTGTCCCTTATTCTTTTTGCGGGGATTCATTATTTTTGGAGAGACGGACACCCGCATAGTCATAAACAGGTGTTTACCACTCCGGGGTCAACCATGCCACTCAAGTTGCCCGCGCCTCAGAGTGAACGCCGAGCTTCAACTTCTCCTCCAGCTCTGCTGCCAGCCGTGTGCAGGGCTTCCTGACGCTGCGGGCTGCTTGGTGACGCAAGGCGCGCCCTTCAACTTTTGGTTGCTACATGGACTTTATACAAAAAAAAAAAACGCATGTATACATCTGTCTATCTATCTATCTATCCATCCATCCATCCACCTCTATATATATATATAGAGTCTTGCACATAAGCACATATTTCATTACATACACATCTACACGTCCGGCCATGGTCGCCCCGAGAGCTGCCTGGCCCCTGGCCCTCGGTCGGTCGCATCTTGCAGCCCAGCGGCGCCTCAAGGAGCTTTCGGGCGGAGAACAAGGCACCCTGCGCCAGGAGGTCGGCGATACCTCGGCAGCAATTTGGATGGGTCAAAAATGGGGTAACCCCAAAATGGAACCCTGGTAAATGGAGCCAAAGACTAACACCTGCGGCGTTCTGGCGAAATTTTGACCCACACTCATTTGGGGGGCAATTGGTCGTGGAATCTTCGGGGGGGCTATGGAGGGGGCTTATTAAGGGCTTAATGAGGGATAGCCCCCCTTCCCCAAAAGTGTGACTTTTAGTTTGTGTGGGTCGAGATTTGACTTGGGTGTTTTTGGGTTCGCAGGGGGGCGGGCAGCCCCCTCCAGGATGTTCGAAAAAAAGTGCAGTCACAACTTCTTCACCACTCCTGTTCAAATGTCCCAAGGCTTGACCAATCGTTTCCTCAATCTCAATTGCTAGAGCTGACTTGCCTACGAATGCTTGCGCGAATCCTCCGCAAGATCCAAGCGGGTTTGAAAAGCAGTGATTCCTGGGTGGTTGTGGCATGCTGGCATCCACGGCGCAGTGCATACCGCCAATAGCACCGCCCAAAATATGATACCGCCAAAAGCTGTACTCGCGCAAAAAAAACAAACAAACAATGCGTTTTGACCTGTATGTTGCCCGGGCACCTCTTCAGAACTTCAACTTCTTTGAGATGCTCGCGGACACCCTAGCGTGGCTGCGTCAGCCAAATGCCTGTGGTAGGGCAACATCGCATACCTTGCAAACTTGATCCAGTTGAATGGTTGCAACCAAGGGGCGGTTTTCCGGCGAGTCCACTTTCTGGCACAGCAACTTGTGTGCCTCGCCAAACGGATCCCCGTTCGGAACGCGATTTGCGCGATCTTCGGCCATAGAACTCGAGCACACTCCCAAGAGATTGGCCCATGCTTTGTCATTCCAAATTCCCAAAAGTGTGATTTGGGCTTGTCTCAACATAGGGGAATCTCCAAGCATGCTTGGTTTCCTTCTGGACCAATCAAAAGGAGACCTCCGAAAAAAAGGAAAAACACGAAAAACGGATTACCAATCACAAGAAAACCCCCGAAAAACAAAAAAATACCGATCACAAGAAGACCCCCGAGAAAAAAAGAAAAACAACACACACACACACACACACAAAAAAAAAAACACAAGAATACCCCCGAAAAAAAAAAAAAAAAAAAAAAAAAAAAAACAGATTACCGATCACAAGAAGACCCCCGAAAAAAAGGAAAAAGACAAAGGATTACCGATCACAAGAAGCCCCCCGAAAAAGAAAAAACATATTACCAATCACAAGAAGCCCCCCCTCGAAAAGGAGAATATGCGGAAAGAAGACCCAAAAAAGCAAAAAATCAACAAATGCGGATTGCGGGAAAAAGAAAAATGCGGTTTGCGGCCTTCCAATCCTTGCGCTGACATTCCGCGGAGCAGTAGGCTGCCTTTCCACAACGGCTACACCTCGGCAATCGCCCAACCCAGCTGTTGCTGTGGGCTAGGTCCTCCAGATTTGAGAGGTTAGAATAAGGGCACCCGACTTTTTTTCCTTTTTCTGTAGTCTATGTTAGTAGGGGAACCCTCCCAGCAAAAAAAGGGTAAAAGGGAACTACTGGGGGAACTAGTGGGTATTTTGCGAATTTTCTGGAGATGGAGTATTAGAAAGAGGCCGTTGCAGCCTCTTTCATGCCACTTCGTCGAAAGAAGATGTGTTGCCCAACAAAAGACGGGAGTGTAGTTGGGCTTTCCTGCGCTATAAAGTAACACCTCGCAGAAAAACAAGATGAACAGCTTGATGCATCATTGGGCGAACCATTGTTTTTACGTGAGAGGGTCTTGCTTTTGCGCACGGGAACTTGACAGTTGCACATGCCCATCGTGTGGCACAAGTCTTGCGGAACAATCTTTCTTCGGACAATTTCCGTGACATCTCGCTTTGACACCTCCCTGCAACATCCCTGTGCAACTCCAGGCAATCTTTTCAGAAGGACACTTCGCCGTGCTTTCGCGAAAACAAGGATCTCGCTGCATTTTGGTGTCCTAAGTGGTAGGCTGCAGGAGAACAACCTCATTGTCTTGTATTCGAGAACCCTCAGAAACAGTCAAAACAATGGGCCATAGCAAGCAAACAATGTGAGTTCACTTCATGGAGTGAATTCACAACCAGCCTGCAAAACATAGACATCTCTGCGGTTACCCTGCCACGGTGCTGTGGATGAACGAAATCCTGCACCAGTTGGTAGGTAGTTTATCGCATTATTTCTAGGGTTTCGTCTATCCCAAGTGGTGCAGGATTTTGTCCATCCACGATAGCTCGACATCGAGGCCTTGCAATGACCCTACCACAACCAGCCCTCAAGCAAGGCGAAGATCAAATTCCAATCTTGTGTGCGCTGACCAGAGTTGGGCGAATCTTTTTTCAAACATGGCCCCATTTAAAAAAGGCGGGCTCCCCAAAAAGAGGGGACCCCTTGCAAATGGTGCCCAAAAGGAACCTTATTAATCCCTGATAGACACTATTCGTCACGCAATAGGTTGTTTAAACGATAGTGGTTTAAGCATGTCTAAAGAGTGGACCTCTTGAAATCTGCGGGCTGTCCTGTGATGCTCCGTGTGCTGCGCCATAGCTTGTTCCAAAATTGAGCAAATTTAGTCAGACTCTTGAAAAGTTGGCTATCAACTTATTTCACGGATGTGTTGTACATCTTTTTGGCTGCGCCCTCTTCATCATTCATTGGGAAGTGGCCAAACAACATAATTGTTAATTGGCTTCCATTTGGATGCGTCTTGTTTTGCGGGTAACTTTTTGTGGTTTGAAAGGGCCAAAGGGAAAACCATCATATTGGAGGTTCAACCGTAAAATGTCGCACTCATTTGCTGCGTGTTGTGTGCCCCAAACCAATTTGCAGCCCAGCATCAACTTTGTCCCCGCAGACCCGCAGCCGGCGCTGCAAAGCACATCCGAGGGCGTGTCCATGGCTACATCTTGGAAATGCCCTGAATCACTTGCACTAACCGCTCATAGACACATGTTGTTTTTCATCAACATTGTCAGTTTGATGCTTATGGTTTGCTGATATGTAATTGTATCAAAGTGTCATTTGGAACTTTGGCCGTCCAAAACCAAATGCATGGTGCTTGGAGAGTGCAAAATAAGTTGTGGCTACGCTTCTACTCCAATCTAGGTGTGATATCACATTTGGCTGTAAGCAATTTGCTGGGACCGGGCCCCTCTCCATTGACGAGCTCGTTTGCTGTCTGCCATGTTTTCTGGCTGGGTCCAAAGCAAGGGAGGTATCCGTCATATTTTGTAGGAGCAAAGAGAAGACCGCCGATGCAGCCTGAAGCCTTGCCACTGCAAAACTCTTGGCCATGGACGCGGCAGACTTTGGCGCAGGGAATGCCAAACCCGACCTTGGCACAGCTCCACTTGGGAAGTCGGCAAGCTCGACATGAGCTCAGTGTGCCAGACCAGCTTGTGCCAAGAAGCATTGCTGCATATGCTTTGGCCTGTGCCTGGCAAAGTGCAATCGATCCATTGTCTAAGTAAGACTGGGATCTGCACCAGAGGATATATAAGGATAATGCAAGGGTTATACAAGGGTTGCAAGGGTTCTGTAAGGATGGCTGGCTGAGTCTGGCTTGGCTGCTTCAAGAAACCGGCTTTTCTAGAATTACTCGATGGGGAAGCAGGTGATAAGAGAGAGCGCTCGCAACTCCTGACTGCCATGACAGCTGCGCGGCGATTTGGAAAGACATATCAAATGGGCCAATGCCAAAAGGGTACTGTTTTGGAGCTATCGGATCATTCGGATCGGTAGATAGGAAAGGGTAGTCACTCCATTGGAAATCAAAGCAACTGTGACCACTGGTGGCTTGCGTGAACCGTGATTCTAGAGAAACCTTGCGCCGAAAACCTTGGCAACTTGAGCAAGTCGGTGTCTCACGATACTTCCTTTCACCCTTCCAGATCCAGCCGACGCGGCATCGAAAAGCGGCCTCCAAAGAGCTGGCATAGGCCGCTTGCCACGCGGCCACACCTGGATCCGGCGCCAGGGGGCTTCGCATGCGAAATCGCGCGCATTGCCCAACGCGAGGCAAGCTCTGGGCGTCTTTTTACTCAAGAGCTGCAAGCTCGCGTAGAAGATAACCGAAGGTCTTCTTCTTGAAGGTGTTCGCGGGGCGCCCATCGCGAGACACAAGCTCAAAGCTGACATTGTCCACAAGGGCCAACACATCGGTGACACCACTCCAGGATACCTCGTCGCTGAATCCCACTACTACGCAAGCCAAAAGTAAGAACTAAACTCAGAGTACAACCTCAGCACTCGGCCCAAACTAGGCTCAGCCAAGACGCGCTCATGTGCTCTCCGTCGCGTGTCCAATCGCCCCAGCCCCAGGTTGTTCGTAAGCAGCCCTGAGCTCGAAACTCCAAACGGGCCTGCTCGGACTGCCCGCCATTGGCAGAATAGCTCCAAACCTGAGCTCAGTTGCCAAAGAACCCGAAATAAAAGGCTATCACCTTTTGGGGCCATGACTAAAAATAGACCAACATGGGAAAACCAAAAGGTTACAGGGTCGGCTTTGGGCAAGTGAGTTAGTGTGCGAACCAAGGTTTGCCCATGATGGCTGATGCAAGCACCAAGCGCCAAATACACACACACACACACATGCAACACCAGCACATGGCGTACACGCGCGAACTAGGCAAACATGCAAGCAAAATACGGGCCGACGCAACACACCAAGGAAGCAATGCACACGCCCGCGCTTGCATGCACACATGCACAAGGAAAACAAGACTGCGCGGAGAGAGAAAAAACAACAAGACAGAAAGAAAGAAAGAAGGAAGGAAGGAAGGAAGGAAGGAAGCAAGGAATCAAGGAAGGAAGAACAAACATAAAACAAACTGAAGGAAGAGCAATCCGACAAACAAACACAAACAAACCAACACGCAAAGCCAGCAACCAAGCAAGCACCCAAGCAAGCAAGCAAGCAAGCAAGCAAGCTAGCAAGCAAGCAAATGAAACAAACCAACAAACCAACAAACCAACCTTCTACCAAACAGGGAAAGACACATGCAAACACACATGGAACAAACAAACAAAGCCAGGTAAGCAAGCAAACAAACAAAACCAGGCACACAAACATGAAAGCAAGCAAGCAAGCAAGCAAGCAAGCAAGCAAGCAAGCAAGCAAAACAACCAACCAACAAACACACAACCACACAACCATACAAACAAACAAGCAAATAAACAAGCACACACAAACATACACACAAACAAAACCAAACAAACAAACCACCAACAAAAAAAAACAAGCAAACAACCACACAAACAAACAGAAACAAACAAACAAACAAACAAACAACAACAAAACAAAACAAACAAACAAACAATTCAAGAAAGAAAGAAAACAAGAAATAAAGAAAGACAGAAACAAACAACCAAACAAACAAAAAACAAACACACAAAGAAACAAACAAACACACAAACAACGAAACAAACACAAATGCAAGCAACGGAATGCAGAAACGGACAAACAAACAAGCAAACCAACACTCAAGCAAACAAACAAACATACAAGCAAACGAGCAACATACAAACAAACGGATGAACAAACAAACAAAGAAACATACAAGCAAACCAACAAGCAAGAAAACAAACACACACACACACAGACACACACACAAACACACAAACAACCAAACCCACACACATGCAAACAAATGAACAAAGGAACAAACAAGCAAGCAAGGAAACAAGCAAACAACCAAACACACAAATAAACCAACATACAACACACAAACAAACAGAAGGCACACGCAAACAAATAAACAAGCAAGAACACAAACAAACAAACAACCAATCAAACAACAAACCATGCAAACAAACGACGGAGGGAACGAACAAACAAACAAGGAAGCAAACAAGCAAACAAACATGCACACAAACAACCAAGCATACACACACAAACGAACGGTCAAGCAATCAAGCAAACAAGCACACCCACAAACACCCAAACAAACACACATGCAAACGAACAAACGAACAAACAAGCAAGCAAACAAGCACACAAAAACAAACCTACAAAGAAACAAAGGAACAAACGCACCAGCAAGCAAGCGAGCAAACCAACACAGAAACAGAACACATGCAAGCAATTTTACAAACGCACGAACGAACAACAAAACAAGCAAGCAAGCAAACACGAAAGCAGCAAGAAAACACACAAACACACACACAAGCATACAAGCAAACGCACAAACAAACAACCAAACAAGCAAGCAAGCAAGCAAGCAAGGAAACACACACAAACACACATGCAAACAACAAACGAGGGCGAGGGAAATAACAAACCAACAAGCAAGCAAATAAACACACAACAAACAAACAAACAAACAGACAGACAAACAAACAAACAAACAAACAAACATACAACCGTACAAACGAACGAACACGCAGGGAAGCAAACAAGCAAACAATCACACAAGCAAACACACCAACATACAAGCAAATAAGCAAGCAAGCAAACAAACAACCAAACACACATACACACAAACAACCAAACAAGCACAAATGCAAACAAACAGTTGAAGGAAGAAACAAACAAACAAGGAAGCAAACAAGCAAGAATGAAACACACACACAAAGCCTCAAGCAAACAAGCAAACCAGCAAGAAAAAAAACACAAGCAAGACAATCAACACACGGACACACAGACACACAGACACACAAACACAGGTGCAGCCGCAGCAGGGGCGCCTGCAAACGCGTGAGAAGCGGGTGGCCTTGCCGCCGCGGGGCACGGCTGCCGTCCGCCTGCCAGCGGCCCAGCTCCTCCGCGCTGGCCATGGGAGGGTCATCGGGTCGCAGCGCGGGCGCCTGGCGCAGAGCAGGGGCCGGGCGCGCCGCCTCCAGCAGCTCCATGGGAACCTGGGAGGTGAGCTAGGTCCTCCAGTTTTGGAGGTTAGAATAAGTTGGTACCCGATTTTTTTTCTGTAGTCTATTTTAGTTGGGGAACCCTCCCAACCCAAAAAGGGGTGAGATTGGGCACCTGGCTGGGGGACCTAGGCCTCAAGGGCTTCAAGGGAGAGGTCGCTCCCATCACCCGGTCCTTTTAAGAGGACAATGGTCCAAACCAGACATGGCTCCATGTTAATTGGTGAGAGGGTAAGAAAAGCTTGGATTTTGAGCCCAAAAGTCTCAGCGCTAACCAAACATGCACAAATCATGGTTTTGGACATGTCAAGATTTGGGGGGCCCAAGAGGCAAGCCATGAGCTGGTGTTTGGCGTAACTGCAGCTGGGAGGGGGCCTGCCTCACTTGGCGAGGTACAGCAGTTACAGCCCAGATTTGAAGTGTGAATGGTAAAGATTGTTGTGTTGACTTACCATTCATTCAGCCCAGTATGAATGCTAAATCTTAAATCTTATAAGTGGTCATTACAGCACATGGGCTGATTGTTGTGTTCACTTCCTTGCCGATGTGTAAAGACCACAAATCCCTGTCAGAACGCCGGGCTCATCTGAGCTGGGAAGCTTCCTGGTTGCAGGCGGCCAGCAGCTCCTGCCATGGTTGAAACACCTAAGGGGTTTTCCAAAAACGCCCGCATCGGGTCTGGCTCTTATCGTTTCTTCTTTTGTTCACCCCTTTCTTTCCTGGGTGATCTTCAAATTTATTCTCGTTCAACCTGACAAAAGGCAAGGTGAAAGTAACTGGCGCAATTCGCTTGGGTAGGTTAAGGGGGACGACTGAGCCACAGGGATGAAAAATTGCGAGCCATTTACACGAAGCCAACTGTACTCTCCACACAAAAGGCTCCAATTCCTGGCTTTCGTTTTGGTTTCTCCTGAAACCGGCTACCCTGAAAATCAACCGACCCATTCTTGACCCAATTCCTTGATGGCTATTACGCCAAAAGCTCTCCAGCTTTGGTTGGCCTGAACTCCAAAAGGCACCCTCCAGTCACTTCGCCATGGAACCCACCAGCGGGCTTTTTTTAAAGTAAAATCATCTGTCTGGTTCCATGTTGGTGGGCCCTCAGGGAATGCGTTGGAATGACATGTTTTGAACCATCCCCTGTGCATGGCCGAAATCCATTTCGCACCGCCTAAGAAGCCCTGGACTGATGATTCCGCTGCAAATACCGACAAACATCGTTTCCCTTGGTTTCAATCTGTTGCAGAATTGCGTCCATCCACAGTCTGGTTTCTTGTCTAGTTGAGAGGTTAGACTAAGGGTACCCATTTTTCTGTAGTCTATATATTTTAGTCTGGAATGTCCCTCCCCAAAAAAAAGGGGTGAGAAAGGGCACCTGGCTGGGGGACCTAGTTTTCTTCGGGACTTTCCCAAACCTTCCATTTGGTTAAGGCCCCAGGAAAAAATACACATATTTCCAGTAGTGATGAATTCCTTCAAAAACCAACAAGGGAACATCAACCATATGGGTATGGGTCAAAATTAAACGACCAGGGGACCGATTTTAGTCCATGTTTCCATTTACCAGGGTTCCATTTTGGGTACCTATTTTTGACTCACAGCCATGCATTCATTTCAGCAAATGGAGGAAACGGTTCCTCCCCCCGGGAACTCGGCCACTCCCAAGACCCAACCTGCAGCTCACGCGCCAGATATCCGTTCCAATACCGCGGCTCGAAGAGCGACACGGCACGCCCACGGGCGCCGTTGCGCCCCGTGCGCCCCACGCGGTGCACGTAGGTCTCTAGGTCCTTGGGGGGTGGCAAACATCGATCAAACATATCCGCCCCTTCTTTTCGTTGTTTTTCCCCTTTCTTTTTTTGTGGGGGGGGGGGGTTCTTTCGTGGAAGCAACTAAATATGGTCAATTCAGCACCGAGAGTCGTCCGGGAAGTCGTAAATGAAGACCAGCGAAACCTCCGGGATGTCCACCTCTAGTGACGAGATTCCGGTAGGCTTCCCCATGGCCAGCTTAATCATCCGGGTCTTTTCGACTTGCTGGTGCTCAGTAGAAAAACCACCCAGGGTGTTAGGAATGACCCCAGGGATTCCTTACAGGAAGCCACCAGTTGGATGGTTTCTGGGTGTCATTTCTCATTCCCTGAGCTCAACCTAGGGATTCCATGAAAGGACGCCACCAGTTGGATGTTGTTTTTTTAAGGTCATTCCATTCCTCATTTTTTGCTGAGCTCCAGCAGGCCGCAGGCCGGCTTGAGAAGCAGCTTTCAGCCGAAAGGCCCCGCGGCCCAGGACGTCGGTGGTCACCAAGGCGCGGAGGTAGCCGCGCCGGAACTGCTCCAGGGCCGCCTCGCGCTGCTCTTGGCGGCGCATGCCGTGGATGGCGCCGGACCTCTGCCCGAACTCTTGGAAGATCAAGGCGGCCAGCTCGTCCGCGGCGTTGCGGGTGCGCACGAAGATCAAGGCCTTGCCACCTGGAAAAAGGCAAGCCAGTGAGAAGATTGATACCGAAGATGCGGGTCATTGGCATATGATCGATTTCAAGTGTCGCCAATGTCCATCTGCTTCGTTCCGGGAGTGCGTCCCTCTTTCTCTAGATTCGTGCATGGCCTTGCTGACCGGCTGCAGCCATGCAGGTGTATTTCAAGTTCCAGTTAGCCGCAGTATTCCCCCCTACCTTAAGGTGGAGGGGGGTGGGGGCTCCCCCAATTCCATTTATCGAGCTTCCCCATAAAGAGGAAAATGGATCCATAACTGGAATTTAAGGGGTCACCCCCCTCCCCAATTCCATTGTAAGCATTGTAAGCTGTGATCCCCATCCCCATCCCCCCCCCGCCACCACACCTCCAGCTGCAGTGGAAAGGTTTAGCTCCTCCTCTCGTAGGTGGCGCAGGAGGATTTCCAGCTTGCTGGTGTGCGAGTTGCCGTGCGGCAGAACCTCGATCACTTGCTGGATCTCGCAGGGTGGCAACGACAGCCCCGGGTCTGCAAGAAGTTCTTGACCTTACTTGCAACAGTGCAAGTGGCAACAGAAAGCGAGCTTCCCGCCAATTTGTGGTTTGGAGCCCGGTGGTTTGGTGGTTCGGGGGTGGTTTCCATTTATCCAAACCACCAACTAAGGGTTGCCTGAGAAAGGCAGCTGCAATTGAACGCATGCTTGAGGCTCCAGCCATGGTTGCCAGTTGCCGGAAAACAAAAGGCTGCACACAAGCTTGGCCTCAAACCAACAACAACACCAAAACAAGAAACAAGACCGCAAAGAGGACAAAGAGTTGGGTACCCCATAAGGCACCTGAGTCAACCGAGGCCGCTGCGGTCATCGTTCTCCTGCTCCACGGCCACTCGGCAGAGCCCGGCGCTGGTTTTCCGGCAGAGGCTCTTGGCGGCTCGCTCCACCGCAGCGGGCCACGTGGCGGAGAAGAAGAGCACCTGCTTGTCCTTCCGCACCTCACCACAGTGATCCCATGGCCAAGGGGAAGTAGGGTTTCCCTGGTAGATGATTAAAGCACCAGGTAAACCCGGAATCGCCATCTATGCCATGGGTCAAAAATAGGCTCACCCCAAAATGGCACCCTGGTTTATGGAAACAATGACTAAAACCTGTGGTCCCCTGGTGGTTTAGTTTTGACCCGTACCCTGCCCATGGCACTCAGAGAGACTATGTTGCAGCCCAACACCTTAAGGCCCGACAACCTGCAGAAGGTTGGAAAATAGACCTCAGTGCCCTCGTGGGGTGAAACTAGCGCGCCAAAACCAGCGGAATCGATTCCGGCAGATTTCGAGATCAAGAACAAATGTAGTTTAAATGTAGCCATGTCGTAGCAACGAAGACTTGGCCCTCTTGATATCAGGTTGCTTTCTGCTCGCATCGGCACATGGCGACCAACCAAAACCTGGGGAACCGGACTCCACCGGAGCGACCTGGACTCCGGAAGCTAACGCCAAAGAAACGATCCAGTTTCCACGGCCGATCCGTCTACTGGATTGCTGGTTTGGACCGTACGCTGGGCACATCTCAACGGATTCTCAACCTCAAAGCGATCCATCAGACTTGCCTTTCTGCCAGTTGCCGAGGTAAGGAAGCTCAGCACAGGCTGGTATACCGCAACTACGACCCACAGCATGCGGTCTCGACAAGCTGACCCTGCATTGCCGCGGAAGAAAAGGTGTGGTTCTGATGGCGGAAAACACGCCGGGGCCAACTACTGACGACTGGCAGTAGCTGAATTGAAGGCCTGGCAAGGCTACTTGCCCGGGTACGATCTCTGTTTGGCGTTGGCGAAGGTTCTGCTCGCCAGGCGTCCATTATTGCCTCTGCCTCGCTCCATTCCCTGCAGTGCTCATGGGGGTGAAGCACAATATAAGCGCAATAACTTTTGCAAGGGCTGCTGCGGCCAGGGCTCGGAGCTTCGCAAACGCTTTGAAGGGATAGTTAAGAGAGTTTATGTGGGTGTGTGCTTGTTCGTGCGTGCATGTTTCTGTGAGGGTGCTAGTAAAGGGAAGCCAAAAGGACAACTAAACCATCTTTGGTGATTTTGGTGGTCCCTTTGACACATGCCTACCCTCCAGAAGTTCTCATGATTAGAGTTAGGCCCAGTTGTCGAATGTATATCTTCTTGTTTGCTTTAATTTGAGTCACTGGTGAAATGTAAAATGTCTCCTAAGTCTACTCCAGTTCCAGATTGGGGCCCCGTTTTCACAAAAACGGGGCCGACTTTTTGTTCTTCTCGGTCCTCGCCTGAGACCCGATGAGCGATACCTCCTCCTCAAAACCTGAGATGCTTTGAAGGTGCGTTCACTTGGCCAGTGGCCAGCCCAAAAGAATGTACACTTCTTGGGGCCACCACTAAAACAAAGGGAGAGCCACTAAGGAAAAAAGTGTAAAGTGTGTCCACTGGCTGAGTGCTTTGGGTTCCAGATTGAAAGGGCTTTCAGGCCCCTTTGATCACAACTGGGGGCTGTATTCCTGTATTCTGAACCATGGCAAAAACCCAACAAAACTCGAGAACGTCAACAAAACCAACTTGATCCAAGATTGGTAGCTATTTTACTGACCAAAGGTTTGGATTTTGGGCTCCGAGGTGGGCATGGCTATTTGCCAAGCACATGCCAGGCTGAGAAACCGTCATCCAGCATCCGGTCGCCTTCATCCAAAACCAAAAAGGAGCATCTCCGCAGGGTGAAGGCGTTGTCACGCAGAATGTCCAGCAGCCTACCCACAGTAGCCACCAGCAAATGCATGCACCTCAGGGCCGAACTCGGCCTTTCAAGTCGGCTCGGCTTTGTGTCAAGTAGACCAACTGACCACTCAAATCACCTGCGAAATCTTACTCCGGGAGTTTATCAAAAATGGGCTGCTTTTTGATGGTTCCTCTTTGTTTTTTTCCACCGGGCCGTTGGCGGCGCAGGTTCGCCAACTGGTCCATCTTGCGAGTGCCTCCGTACACCGCCGCGGTCTGGATCCGTGCCCTGCTGGGCGACTGACTCGTCAGCTTCTCGGCCACCGAGAAGATCTGAATCACCAGCTCCCGGGTCGGGGCGAGGACCAGCCTCGGTGTGATCTGGACAAACAAAAAGAAAATCGCCGAGCACTTCTGGGCTTTTTGGCTTGGGGGAAAAAACCTTGAAACCAGCCTCCCTTTTGGCCCCTTGCGAGCTTGAACAACAAACAACTCCGTCAAAGTGGCCAAAAGACCCAAAAAGTCATTAACCTTCTGGCTTTCTTGGGAGGTTCAAGGTCCAAACTCCGTCAAATTCTATTTTTGTTGATCCCCTAAATAATTGTTTTTTGATGACTCATCCATGCTCATCCCCTCAAAAGCGTTGACCCTCCCAACAAACTCCGCCGGCCGTCTTTCACCCAGCAGCGCAATAGGCCCGTCCGCCACTCGAGGCGGTGCCTGGCCTGCCGCGTGCACCAAAGCGGGCACCAGAAAGGCCAAGGTCTTGCCGGAGCCCGTGGGAGCTGTGGCCACCACGTCGCGCCCCGCAAGTGCTAGGGGGAGGACCTGTCGCTGGATGGGCTTCATCCTAACTGGCAGGCACCTCTGCAAGATATGGATGGACCAAAGGGAGCCCACCATTCTAGGGGCCATACTACAAGATCGAACTTTTGGAACGTCAAAAATCGGGCCGAGGCCCAACTAAACCGAAAGGTCTAAACCTACCAAAAGTCTGCCGAAAGTGTCTGCGAGTGTCTCCTGAAAGCTCTGCCGTTTGAGACCCTCCAGCAGCCATGGTGGGAGCACCTCTTGGAACTCCGAAAACTTGGCTCTGTCGCGCGAGGCGCCTCCCTCCTCCAGAAAATCCTTCCGAACACTCCGTCCCAGCACCCGGTCAGCAATGCCGGAAAGTGCGCATTGGAGCTCAAGCCTTGAACGCAGCAAAGCGACCAACAGAGCCAGCAAAGAAGCCCACCTCAGCCACGTGACAAAATTGCACAGCACGACGTGTAGTTGCACAAGGGTGACTGTGTGACAACAACACGTTCTGGGATAGCCACCGCTTTGCACATCACTCACGCGCCAAATTAAGGGTCCGGCTGAGAACCAGATAAATGCCTCAGCTTCTCGAGGGCCCAAATCGCCAAGGCTTTTAGCCGAACCCTGCTCGCCGCAGGAAGCATGCCGGAAGATGCCGGAAGCATGCCGTTCGCATGTCAGAGCCAGAGCTGCGCGGCCGGCAAACGTTTGAACCAGACACTGTGCCGCATCTCGGGAATCAAAGGCACAACTTCCCTGCAACCGCCAGGTTGGTTGCAACATACCCGAACCACTCACGCGACGCATTTCTGGGAAGGCGCCTGGAAAATATATTTCCTCAAGGAGCCTCTGTCAGGTGCCATGTTGGGAGAGTGTTGGGAGATGCAACCGACGCTCCCCGCCTTGGGCTTGGCTGGGCTCATACCTCGCCGAAATCAAATCAGCCATGGCATACCGCGCTTGCTGTAAATATCCAGGAGGGCAATTTGGGTGGTTCTTGGTTTCAAAGGGAAACCGAGGAACAAGCCAGGGGATCCCCTCATTTAGAGCCAAACCCATGTCTGTGCACCTCCTGTGATTGTGCCACCTTCCGATGGTAGCAAACAATCCGAATGAACCCATGCACAAACGCCAATGGCCAAGCTCCTCTTCTGGCAGATGGTCCTCGCAAACCTTTGCAATGAACAAACACTAGGTCCCCCAGCTAGGGCACCCCCTTTCTCACCCCTTTTTTAGGGGAGGGTTGCCCTACTAAAATCGACTACCGAAAAAAAAGGGTGCCCTTATTCTAACCTCTCAAATCCGGAGGACCTAGAACAACTCACCACTGTCTCCCTCAACCAGAGATCCGAGGTCCCGGCCGCGGGCGCTTTGTAGGCGGCACCTCTCGGGGGAGAACGGCGGACGAGCGGGGCCTTGTGGGCCCAGTGGGTGGTGCCTGGTGGCAAATCGTTGCCATTTGAACTGTGTGGCTTGGGGGTCCTTCAACATCAAACCAACCACTAAACCCTAAAAAGCTAAAAAGCTAAGGGGATGGCTGGGAGCCACCAAGTTAAGTCGCTGCCACGAAGTTCAAGAGATGGAACCACCTCAAAAGCGGCATGAATCGGGGCCGGAGTTTTGAGGCCCCTTTTCGATCCACACAACTGGCAAACCCGTGGGGACCCAGCCAGCAGGCTCACTGCCGATTCCTGCAAATGCTCTTTCTTAGCCGCACCTCATATACCCTCATAAAATCATCTTGCCGCGCCTCATCCGGGAAGAACTGAGAAAAATAAGAATGGTTTCAGGCAAAACCTTTTCCCAAGAGGACGCTGTCTCCAGATTTACGTATCGTTCCATGGTAAAGAGCAAAGTACCACAACGGACGTTGCCCCCCCGCGGCGCCTTGACCTCGACAGGTGGCCCAGCCCTGGCAGTGTGGTTGATGGTGTCTCTTCGGAGGCTCTCTTACTTGTTTAAGCCCTGGAGGAATGAGTGAATGAGCACTACCAACCATCTTGTGCGGTTTCGCTAAAGAGAATTCTCAGGTTTATTTCCGCCAAATAGTTTAACATCTGTTGATGCAGAGGGGCTGGCAGCTAAATGAAATCGTGAAACGGTAAATATCCGCCAAGCGTGTGAGTGTTCATCTGCGCATGCGGTATGCAATGGTCCCAACATCCCTTGTAGCAACTAACTAAAAAGGTACGTAACGTAGACGCCCATGATACCAGACTTGCTTTGGATATGAAGAGGCAAAGATGGATTTCGGCAGTCGCTGGTGCGATCACCACATATAACTTGCTCAGCACAATGCCAAGAGAACTGGGCAAGCCCCTTTCAACAAATAAAGTGCCGTTAAGCAGTTTCGCCCAGGGGACCTGTGTGGTGTGGGTATGAGTCTCGTTTGCAAACGGCGCAGTGGTTCAAGTATTCGTTCGTCACCTTCCGCTTCTCGCAAAATCATCTTCCTCATGAACATGAGTTGGGCAACACCTTGGAAACGAATGTACTTTCTTACCCCTTAAAACTCCAAGGATTGGGGAAGTTCTCATCTTTTACAGACACTTTTCGCCCATGTTACCCCCCAAAAAGCTGAGAAAGGTTTCGTGTTTTTAAGAGGTAAGCCACTAAAATAGGTCCTAAAATGGGTGGTGAATTCACCGCAAACCCACCAAAATGGGACCAAACACCATTGGTCTTGACCACCACGGCCGCTGGAGAAACCATGGACGGAACTGCCAGAACCAGGGCAAGGCATCCCTTTCACAGGCCTGCCTGCCTGCTACATCTTCTCGGCGGATTCAGTCTTTCTTCTCTTGGGGCTTTCTCGACTTTGTGGGTGGATTCAGTGGCTTAACCAAGCAAAGGGGTTAAGCCCATCCATTTTCGGGTAAGTCCATCCATTTTCAGTTTGTCAACCACTCGGTAGACGGCAGGGATTCAGCTTGCGGCCCGCTAATGTCGGACCCGCTTTTGCAATTGGGGTCGCTGTTTTTAAAGTCTGTTCCGAAGTCAGAATCCTGTGACCTTTTCAAGGTTCGGTTCATACAATGTTGTTTGGCCAGAAAACAGCGGGCAACAAAATCGGGCCAAACAAGGCAACCACATCCGGGCAACAATTAGGAGTTCCTGTTCTGGAAGCGGTCCCCAAACCATCAATGTTATACAAGTCCCTTATAAGAAACAAGGCCAACCAATCACGCAAAGGGGGCACCCCAAAAGAAGCCCTGATTCTAATAATTTAAGACTGTTTCGTGCTTCGCGCAAAAATGGTAAGCTCTATTGAAGGGGGAAACTCCCAGACCCAAAGGCTTAAAGGCCGATCTGGAATCAAATTTGCAAGTCCCCAAACCATCAAACTTAAAGTCACTTCTTAAACAAGGAGTAAGACCTAACAGTCACAAAAAGAGGGGGTGCCCACAAGAGGTGCTGATTTTGCTCAATCTGACTGTTTCTTGGTTCGCTTTAATGTCCAGCTTGTTTGGAGGGTGGGTGAAATTCCCGGATCAAACCTCAGCGCTTTGCTACTAACGGGTGGTTCAACAAAGTTTTTTCTGAGTTTAAAGGTCGAAGCCTTTTTCAACACTAAATATAGAGTTGGCAATGGTAAACCTTGCTCTGGGAATCCGCGAATAAGTTTTGGCAATACTGTACTAAACTTAGAATTGGCAATAGCAAATTAAGCACTGGGAGTCTGAGAGCAAGTCTTGGCAATACTAAATTCAGAATTTGCAAAAGTCAATCAAGTACTGGGAATGTGAGAGTAAGTCTTGGCAATGATTAATTAAGCATTGGTAAGTCGAAGTCGAACCCAAACACCCAAATTCTCCCATAAGGAGGCCCCGCCGGTTCACTGCTCCAGGTGGGGGGGCTATTAAGTCAGACCCATGCCTTCGGGCCCCGTGGCCTTTCGCTGTTTGTGTTGTCTCCGCTTCCCTCGCGCGACCCGCTAAGTAGCTGGCCACATGGATATCTGGCTACATGATTGGCAGATGCATGAGTCAGCTCCTAAGTGACTACGTAGCTAACTATACCAGGGATCCTTACATTATACACCTGAACATTGCAACTTGTAAATGGTGGTTTCCCTTTATTCTGGTGGAAAAAGCAACATGTTTCAAATGGTTGCAAAGCCCCTTTTTTTTAGGAGCCCTTTTTTTCTAACACACCATGAGGCCGGCCCCTCCAAGGCCCACCTGGGAAAGGGCAGCATCTTGGATGGCGGCCTGCCAGGCGGCCAATGGCCACAAACCCATCGGCGAGTTGGGCGGAATGCCCATGGAGAGAGTCCCACATGGGTACCTTTTTTGAGGCTACCCTTGACGTGCTTCAAAGGGCAACCTAAGGATCGCAACCAGTTCTGGGGTGCCCTGCATGTCAAGAAACAGTGTGTATTGGCGAGGTAGGTCGTTTTCGAATCTCCTTTATCTGGCGTTTCTGCCGGGCAAAATTGTCTTCAGTATGTCGCGGAGCACGGGAACGGCCGACGAATAAGGGTGCCGTTGGGTTGCGTGCTCTTTGACATGGACGATCCACCATGAATCATGTGACTCTCTCTCCGCGTGAATTCCCTGTGCTTCGCTTCGTTGATCGGCAACAAATGGCAACCACATGGATGTGCTTTCAAGTGCTGACCGAAGCTCGTGCTTTCACAATCAAAACCCCACCAAGTTCCAGCCTTTTCAGCAACGAGCCAATGCCGTTAACAGCCTTACCGCAAAGCCTCTTGCCTATCAACATAAAGTTCGACCACCCTTTTTCTTGTAAGTTCACATCAGGTCTAACACAAACGCACCCTACGCATACTGATTGCATCGCTTCGTCGCGCCGTATAGCGCATTGCCCTGAAAGCGACCCTGGATTTCGAGGGTAACAGCCGCATAGCAGTGCCTTTATATCCAAGGCGTTCGTCAATCAGGATTGAAAGATTGTTCGTTGCTTGGCTGGGGTGATGGCTCAGTCCACAAAGGCTCTTTTTGGCACTTGCACTTGCCCAGCCGCCTGACCACCTGCGGCTGTGGCCGCCATTGAGCATATGCAGCATATGCATTGCTCCAGTCACCCCAGTCCTTGGCAAGGCAACATGCTACCTCCCAAGCCGTGAGCACAAACGGCATTTCTCAAGGCCGACGACTCAAAACAGAAAGGCCTGCAAACATGGCACTCCTAAGGTACGCCGAAAGGGTCAGAACTGATGCACGAGCCAAACTGCGGCCAACTTTCACTGACCATTTGCTTCTGACGCGCAACCTTGGGCCCCCACGGATGCCATCATGGGGCGTAGGACAAGTCCATACAATGTCGCGTCTCGACCAGGCTATTAGCCCAGTGCTCCTGCTTTCCTTCTGAGGAAGCAAGGATCTGAGCCACTGACAAAGGCAGACATGTGGAAAGCGGCGCGTTGACTCCGCGTCTTTCGGAATGCAAGTGGGCAACTCGCCTCCACGGATCCAGGCAAACATGGAACCAATCATGCTGTGTTTCTCCCCCCCAACGAAACAAAAAAACCTGGGGTTCAACCCGGTTGACCCAATTTCGATGATGAACATCCTTAAGTAAGCAATGGTGCTTATATTAACCCCCTTGTTTTAATGGTGTTTGAACCCCGAGCGAAGAAGAGCCCAATCCAAAGGCTGTTCAAACCCTTAAATTCTCACCCCTCGAAGAAGCTGCAGTGAGGATCTCTCGCAAACTGGCACCCACAAGCCTCTGCAAGACTGCCAGCGCCTCCCCGTGGGCGAGCCCGCCCATTTTCCATGGGATCCATCTCACTTGCCCAAAGGACCTGGAAATACAAGGTTAACCTTTTGGGACCTACTAAGAATGGGCCAAAACCAAAAGGTCAAAAGGCCAGAAGGTCGGCGTTGGGTTCAGTCAAGCGAAAAGGCCTGAATCCGAAGCCGCAGGTTTCCATGGGCATTCCAAAAATTGGCGACCGGGAGTGAAAGACATGGCCTATGGCCACGAAGATCCCGCAAACACGTCACACACCGGGACCAAACAAAACCATGGCTCCAGCCTTCATTCAAAAAGCTCATGTGGAGAGATGCCTTCATGCTATGACATATTGGTTTGTCAACTTAACATGTTCTGACATTGATATGTTGTCAGGTGTGTTTCAGCTTTGCATCTTTTCGTGCGCCCACGCCTGCTCCGATGCTGCCAACTTCCCCTGCGAGCTGCACGCCAGCAAAGACCATTCCCGAATAGGAATCGTTTTCCCAACAATGCCATGGGTCAAATTCCCGTACCCCCAGTGAACATCCCAATCCCCGCTGTAGACTAAAATGGGTGGTGAATTCACCAAAAACCAACCAGAATGGGATCCAAAACGGCTTTGATTCCCACCGCCGGATGGATCTTTGTTCCACGGGTTGACCAAGTTCTCGCCACCACGGTGAGCCAGGCTCTTCAATTGGCAGCTCTCGCATCAAGCGCCCAAAGGCCTGCAGGAGAAGGTGCTCTTCTTCCAAAAGCTCGTGCCTCGCATGCGGCATGGGTGAAGGGAGGGAAGCAAGAAAACCACACACACACAGGCACACAGGCACTTGCGCACTTGCGCACGGGGTTTCCGGCCCTTTGTGGGTGAATAAGGAGGGAACAACATGGAACAACAAAAACACACACAAGCACAAAACTCAGTTGCCCAAAGGACCTGGAACCAAAAGGTTAACCTTTTGGGGCCATGACTAAAAATGGACCAAAATGGGAAAACCAAAAGGTCAAAAGGTCGGCTTTGAACAACTGAGAAAAACTAAAGGACATCGATTTGGATGGTTCTGCCTTGGGACCCTTGGGCCCTTGGGCCTTGGGTCCCGGCTTCTCCTGCAGACCTTCCAGCTTGATCTTGCGGGTGGCCTCCCGCATCGCGATGCGGGAAAGCTGGGCCAAAATGGGTAACCCCAAGTAAGCAGGGCGTTTGCTTCGGACACATGCGGCGGCCCCAAAAGCTGTGTAACCAAAAAAGGGTTACCCGGGCAAATGCGAAAATTGGACCAAACAACACCTGCGGGGTTTTTTCGTGCTTTATTTTGTTCACCCATACCCCCAACTGATGCTACACAAGTAAAGATTCAGACACATGTGAAGCAACCAAAGGCTCGGTTGCTTTCTGCTCCCCTGCTAAAAGTTTTTAACTTTTAGTGGTTTACTGGAAAACCCATGAGTTGGCAAAAAAAATGTTCAGTCCTAACATCCCTTGGCAAAATGCACCAAAGATAAAGCACCTGGAAGAATGAACATTACAACTTGTAAATTGTGGGTTCCCTTTATTTTGGTGTTGAACAAGCCACATGTTTCAACTGATTGCAGATGGAAGAATGCTTTTCTACTCGCAAAAAGTCGATCCGGCGACTCCGCACCTCCACCGTCTTGTGGGTCTCCACCTCAGGCGCCAGCGCTCGCCCGGGCCCCAGGACAGGCTCGCTCGCCCATGGAGGGAGGGGATGGGAAGAAAACCCACAGCCAAAAGACTCGAAGCAGGTGGAGCCAAAGGAAAAATGACTTAAGATATAGTTGTGAGGGGAACCGGTTTTTTGTGTGTTTCTTCTGGTAAGCTTTTAGGACCTTGGAAAACAAAAAGGAAACCACATGTTTGGAAACTCCAGGTTTCCGAGATTTGTTGGTGTCGTTCCTGCTTGAAAAGCAACAAACACGTCTAGGGGGTACCTTCCATTCTTTCCAGGGATCCTTCTTTCTAGAACACCTCCGGAAACCCAGGGGAAACGGATCCGTTTTTTGGAAAGAAGGTTGAAAAGAGTGCAAAAGGAATCAACCAGTAGAAAACCACGTATCATTTGGGCTCGGATCCTCTTTCGACTCTTGGCGCGCCGGCCAGGGCGGCCAGGGTGGCCAGCTGCCTCTCTGCTTCCGCGCAGGCGGCGCATGTGGAAGGCCGCCTAAAGGGGCCGGGGCGAGGGTCTTATTGAGCAGTGCCCGTTTCTCACTTGGCGAGCGACCAGCCCAAAAAATATGTCTACACTTTTTGGGCCGCCACTAGAAGAAAAGGGGGAGCAAGGAAAAAGAGGTGTAAAGTGTGTCCACTGGCGTGAGAAGCTTCACCCGCTTTGACTTTCTCCTATGGTTGTTAGCCCCCCAAAACGGGATTGGACCTGGACATGGTCCCAAGAGAAAAGAACACATTAGGCGCTATTACCCTCTATTAGGATTGGCGGGCGTCCTCGTACTGGGGGGGGCCCTTGACAACCAGAAAACTGTTGGTTGTACATAGTTGTAAAGGTTCATCTAGGCCGTACTGCCACCATAAGACCTAGTAGAACCTCCTACTCAGATTATGTGGGTGGGCGCTCAAGTTGGATTTGCCCTTTCTTTTAACGAGCGTAGCGGGAGGGTGCCTGGAAGATACATTTCATCCAGGCACCCTCTGTCAGGTGGTTGGATCTAACCAGTTGGGCGTTCCTCCAAGCGGGGGGCGGGGGGGGGGGCAAACGTTTTTTGTTTTTTTTTGTTTAATATAATATATATATATATATGTGTTTTGGTTACTTCCCTTTAAATCAACCCCAACAAGGGGCACCCTCTAAAAACGACAAACCCATTCGCCGTGTTACAATTCAAACATCGCCATAGCGGAGCTTCTTTGTGGGGAAGCGCAGCTCTCCCTTCCCTTTGCGAAAAATTGAAGCTGGCCACTCCTGAGCCGAAGCGGGGCGTCCAAGACTGCGCTCCTCCCTTCTAACGAGCCTGCGGGTGTTCTCGAATAGGAAGGTGCAAAGGCGAATCTGTTCTTGGTTGCTGTTGACCCCTGGAAAATCCGACCCGTTGCAAACAAAAAGTTCAAGTCCAAAGAACTGTTACCAAATATCCTCACACCAATTAACATGGAACCTGACAGGGGTCCCTGTAAAGGACAATGGTCTAAACCAGGAGCCCCCGAATGCCAGGTTCCATGTTACTTGGTGGGAGGGTAGCCAGAAAGTGTTGGGGTTTCATTCTCTGCGATTGCCCAGACTCCGGACGGATTTTTTGTCCGGGTCGGTCTCAGGCTGAGGTCCTCACTTCTCTCCCTGCGAAGGATTTTTGCGGCGTGCAACAAAGGCAGATCGACATGTGTCTTTCTTTCGTGGACCCTCAAAATAGTTTTCGGCATTCATTTGCTTTTGTAAACCAAACAAAAAGGGGGAAGCCTCCAAACAGGAGACACACCTCGCCGCATGCCGGCTGAAGACACCAAAGGTACTGCAGCCCTCACCGGACGAACGTGACATGACCTTCCATTTGGTCAAGACCCCTGCAAAAGATATTTCCAGTAGTGATAAGTCCCTTATAAAACCACAAGGGAAAATGAAAATCATCTTAAGCAAATGGAAGTGACAGGAACGGCTCCGCTCTTCTTTTCGACGCCCTGCTTAGTGGTTTGCGGGAACAGAACCCAAGCGATCGCCCCTTGCTTGGCAAGGAGCAAAGTTGCTTTTCTCAGCACCAAGGCTAGGCCCTACGATTCCTGTCAGCACGGGTCTTGGACCCTGCCTGTCAAATCTTGGACCCTTCCCCCTAATTAATGTAGTGCAGACATCACTTTCCATAACCTGCTCCAGACTCTCCCAATGGAGTGCTAAACCAATTCGAAATTCACAGATTCTCTGCCGACCCCATCTGCCCTCATCGGGGCTAAAAACAAAATGCATTGATCGGCCCCCGTTGGCATACCTAATTTAGCAAGCTCACGTTTGACGCCTTTTGCATTTATCAGAAGCCGTCAATTGCTTTTGTACCATTCAATCATTCATAATTAGGGGAAAGGACAGAAAATTATGCTTTTGCTTTCTTCTCCTTGCTCTTCCCATCCTTTACCTTCTCCGTCTTCGGCCTGAGCTTCGCACAATGAGCTGCATCGCAGTAGCCGCTATAGCTTATGAAAAGCAACAACTTATCTGGTGCATCTTAGGCTCTCATCAGGCTTTACTGGGTAACCTCAGCTGCCACGCCAACTTCTCCATTCAAAAAATTCTCACGCGACTCAAACTGCAGGTTTGCATGTACCCTCACGGGTTTCACCTCGACATGACGCAATATTCTATTAGCACCCCCTACTCCAAGAGCTTCGTGTGAGAATCTGTAAATGGCTTCATGCCATTTCGCGCGCCACGTCGACTCCCAAAAATTGCCATGGGTCAAAAGCCCCTAGTAGACGGTTTTGACCCACAGCCAACTCAGCAAAAATATCAAACAATGCAAAGCCACGCGCCAGGAGCTTGATGGCCACAGTCACCTTGTGCCGATGCAACTCTTTGCCCACTGGAATCCACCCCAAACATTGTAACATGGAAGTGCTCAGGACCCTTTGGGCAGACCAAGCGTTACTTTCCTTAAAGCGGGTTGGTGCACTTCCATGAGTCAAACA